GGGCAGGAAGCGGGAAGAGAGAATTTGCATAGTTTACTAGGGCAAGTTATAAACAGATTTCAACTTCACAGATATAGTGTACAAGCAAAGCTCAACTACATTAATTACAGTACTTTAGCATCCGTTTGAAAAGGTAACTCACTATTGTGTTATACAGCAAAATTTGTCAATGTGAAAATAAAAACAAACCAAAGTCTGACTACAGAAGTAAGAGATGCGCTTTAGTCACACATACTTCATGTGAATAGCATAAACTGGTTTACCTTTAACAAGCTTTGGACTTGTTAGTGTCAACATTCCAGCATGTCCTGACAGATCAAGTCCAGTAGCCAGCCATACTGGACCGCAAAGTATATCTTCCTTGTGTTCCTCCAGAAACGGACACAATCTAAGACCTTAAAAACCATAAGTAATATGGAACTGAATTACTCACAATTAAGTCACAAAATCTGATCATTTGCATGGGTTAAAAATACAGCATGTCAAACTCTGATCACTACATATAACTCTACATCGAAAACCTAACAATTACTTGAGGTTCACTTTAAGCCATTTTCCAGCGAAATCAATAAAGGTAAATGACAGTTTTCAAAGCATTTTCAGTTATATTATATGGATAATATGTACGTTGACTGGCTTAGAGCCACAAAATACACAGCTGATAAAATGATGAACCAAGATATTTTGATCCACAACTCTCACTGGGTCTTTTCTAAAGCAGGACAGAACCATTTAAGAAAAGAAAAGGAAAAGGAAAAAAAAAAAAAAAAAGAAAAAGACAGACTAATTTGTTTCTCCTGTGGTATATTGAAATTATTGAAATTATCATTCACTCATCTTCTGCTTCTTTCTCAGCATGAAAATCCTCCTTCCAGCTTTTTCTTTTATCACCCCTTTGATCCCTCCCCCCCACCCGCTTTGCAACACCCTTCTCGGAGTCATAGAATGGTTTGGGTTGGAAGGGACTTTTGAAGTCATGCTCTACATAAGCCTGATCACATGAAAGGAAAGAAGGTGTAAAGTAAGACTGTTGAAGTGACCAAGAAAAAGAATCATAGTTCTGAAACGGATTCACTCCAACTATCAATTTTTAGTTTGTAGCTCTCCTCACTCAGATCCAATCTGATTGCCTTTCAGAGTCTCTCTAATCGATTTTGTGGAAGAGTACTGGTTAACAAAAAAGGTTATGAAAACAGGCACAGCGAACCTGATATAGCTGAAAATTAACATGACTAGTTATGAATTCTTTACCAGCTGTCTATTTTTCTTGGTTTACAGCAGCAGTCGCTACAAAAGCCAGGTATGCAAAGAAAAATTCTATTAAAACTAGCTAAGGAAACCAAGTAAAATACTGCTGGAACAGGGTAAGAGTTTAAGTTAGAAAGGTGCCATATCAATCTACTTTATTTCTATATTCAAATAAATACTAATCTGCTTTTAAGCACCAAAAATCTCCAGTAATTTTTTTTTGTGTGTGTGTTTGTGCTAAACTTTCAACTCATACAGTAGACAGACCAGTTAGAGAGGTAACATTGAACAGGGCTGAGAAATCAGTCTATTTTAAATGGCTGAGAAATTTTTGCAGAGAAATTCCAGTATGTCATTAAAAAAAGTAAAAAGCAAGCTCATATTTTAAACAAGGTATAACAAGATAAATAAAAACTTACATTGTGGTTCCTCTACATCCATATACTGCATTTCTTCATTGAATTCAACCAGTCCTGGTTTTCCATTTCTCTCCACTTCAATATTATGAGCTGGAGATAAAGGAAATGTGATCTGTCTATCTACTGCTGCTTCTGAAAATAAAAATATTAGCAAGATTTCATAAACATTGCTAAGGCTCACAGAAAACAGAAGCGGTAGTTTTCATAGCAAATTAATCAGCTTTCGGCCCAAAACACTATTTCTAATATAGGCATGTTTTTCATATTAGGATTGCAACTGAACTTGCAGCAAATAGTTAAAAAAAATATTTCTTTGAATGACCTTTAACACTGCCCAAATTATTTTCTCCTAATAATCAACTGCAGATTACTCCTAAGTAATTAGATTCCAGTATTGAAAGTTTGATAATTTAAACTGAAAATAACTGGATTGCTCCTGCTGAATTATTTTGGTAACACTTAAGTACAGCTCTTTTTTTAATTAAATGGTTCTCATGAATCATAGATGAAGAGGATATGCAAGCAAATGAACACGAAGCATATACAGTGAATTAACTGCCAGATCAAAAACATTAGTTCCAAACCAGAAGAATTATGCCTCTGGCCTTCCCGTTATTACAAACTACACATTTAACTGGTTCCAGGGTTCCTGTCATACAAAAAACGACTAAATAAACTCTCCCCTACAGATCTTCCTTAGGTCTCGTTACCTTAAAATTTCAGTTCCTTTCTCACCCTACGGAGGAAGAGAAGGGAAGGGTAGGGGGAGTTTACAGAATTTCAGTCTGAAGATTTTATACCTTTTCAAGAGCCACCAAACAATCCTGAATATTACTTTTCCTTGGGATTAGGACATTTTGGTTAATATCCAGCAGAGATATAAATTACCTAGGTTTGCCTTCACTTACACTGAAATCATTAACATTCTATTACTTCACTCCGTAGTGCTTAGAAAAAAAGGCAAATGTCATTAAGATCCTTTTCCAAAACCCAAGAAATTGAAAAAGGGTAGGAAGCAACTGCAATGCAGTAACACTTGAGAGGATGTTGGTTAGTTGAGGCTCCCCAATCCTTCTGAATCAAAAAGAAAAAAAGACCTTGCCAAGGTTGCCTCGCAGGTGCTCTCAAATCCCCCAGCCCTTTCCAGACTGCCTGTGTATACCCTGGCCCTCCACTCCATGCTTTCTCCACCCTATCCATAACAGAAAAAAGCAAATTCCACTACACTGCATGTAAGGAAGTGAAATGTCACTTTCTGGAAGAGCTCTGTCATGCCTTATATTCAGTATGCTGTACTGTAAAGTATCCACAAAAAGCTCTGGCAATTTATTTCACAGTCAAATCAAACGTCTTCAAAGAATTACCAACTCATGGAACTGTTGCTCGGCAATATTTAAAACTGAAACATTAAGGAAAAGAGCTTAGCGTTTCTTCTACTGTTTTGTTTCACAGGTGAAGATTTTCAGATTAATTCTGACATCCAGATCTGCAAATGGACTGAGTTCTAAAATTCATGCCAAAAACAAAGCAGGTTCAGTTCAGAAGACCAACATGGACTATCTGTCCTATTTTTTTATTTGATAGAACAAAATTCTGCTACATGTTAAAATTAAGGTTTTACTTCAAGAATTAAACAAAGGAAGAACCTTCAAGAACATTTGTTGACTGCTGTCCTGCAGCCACAGCTAGCATTTCTGCTAAAACTGTTAAACCATCTTGTATCTTTTCTCCAAGAATATTCCTATGATAGAATATTTTCTTCTTGGATAAGCAGCAGTTTATAGGATTTCTTTAAGGAGCATATCCACCACACTTTTTTTCTTGTTGAACACTGGGGGATGCTACAGAGTGAGAAATTGTATGAAATTATGTCAATGATCTTTGGTATGCCTGTATTCCTTTTTAAAATTTACACCTCTGTTACCCTTGTTTAACTGGGGTGCTCTTGCTTAGCATTTAAAAAAAAATAGAAAAGGTAAAAAAAAGCTTTTAAAATCATGCTTGCTGTTTTCCCCAACACATTTTATATCCAACAGCCAATTTAATAATATTCAACAGCAAGATTTCTCTGACATACCAAGTTCCTAGAAGCTTTTCAAAAAGAGATGGCCAGATAAAGGTAACCAATTAATGCCTCAATAAAAGGAAGTGCTGCATGTAATACCTTCCATCCCTAGCAGACAGGGCAGCAGGACATGCAGTGAACTCTCACCACAGGAAAATCCCAATGGAGGCACAAACTCTTCCACATCAAAGAAGTGACTTTTCAATTTATGCTACCCCCTCACACGTTCCCTGAGAACTAGTAAGATGCAGAGTCCAGCTAGGAGTCTTCCCAAGGCAAGAGCATTCATAACTTTGGTCTACCTTGTCAAAGCTGCAAGGAACAAAAGGTGAAATCATACTGCAGCTTTCACATAGCTTAATTAATGAGCCAGATGATAAGAGAATTCCCACGGAAGCCAGGTTTTAGCTACTGTCATCAAAAAAAGCCCTGCTATTTTTTCTTATGCATCCAAGAGGCACTGCCAAATAATTTCCTTCTGTGACTTGGAATAATTTATTCTAATTTTTTAAAATATAACAAGAACTTAAGAGAGCATCATTTGTTTCATCAGTCAATCTCTAGGATGATTTACAATTGACAACATATTTTTTTTAATGACTGTAGGATTCAAGCAGTACAGAACAATAATTCAGTTCAACCTTTTTGAGCTATGTGCTTTTATTTGTACAAAATTCAGGATTTTGAAACTGTTTACCCAGTTTGTTCCCCCAATTTACATTCAAACATGGTAAGTGAAAACAGACCATGATGCTGAGAAATAGAATAAAATGGAAATAAGTAAAACCAAAATATTTACACAATTTCAAGCAATTCTTCTAATATACATCATGGAGAATAATGAGTTTGAGAAAAGAAACAATATTCTGAAAGATATCATAAGTTCTTTCTTACCATTGACTTTCCCTAAGCCTGGAGCTTTATTTTTCAGTAAAGTCACTTGAATCTGGGGAATATTTGTGATGTTTGAATTCAAAACAAATTTGAAGTCCACATGTCCAACCATACAAGCTTTTGGTAGAACCAGTTCAAAGACATGCTCATCCCAGCTGTTGCTGTCAGGAAAAACGAAAACAATGACCCAGTGTTAAGAGAAAATTCAGATCAAGCAGGCAGCATTACCCAGTGCATTCTCCATCCATGCACACTTTCTTTAACAAGAAGAAAAACTTATTTTGCATTAGTTGACATTCACATGAATTTCCGAAGTAAAAGTCTTTCAAGCTGCAGTTAACCACATTAATTTTGTGAAGAAAGCCAATTGATAAGAGAGGGCAAATCAATGTTCGGATAAAAGTAGCAGTGAAAAGATACCCTACTACCTTCATTACAGTACTGTTTCCATATTACTATAAATACTTGTCACTCATTTCTAGGAAAAAAGGAATGGGAGGGGAGATCACTAAAAAAGGATCTACCAATCAGTGAAGTGTATGAAAGCATGATAGTAACTACCTTGCAATCTCTTCAGTTGGCCTTCTCCACTGGTAAGTCTTAAACAATGTCACTTTCCAGTGGTACAACAGCCACATCCAGGAGACTCAAAATACTAGTTTCAAATTATTGTTTTAAATGCATTTGATAATTTATACAGGATGAGAAGTGCTTCTTACCAGGTGCACACTCAGAAGCCTGTGCTGTGCAAAATGGGTGCAGCTTTCTTTTAATGAGTCATATTTTCACTTTGAAGCCAACTTGAGATTGTAAAGTGTAAACTTGAGATAATAAGTACCCCTCAATGATCAGTTCCATAGTTTGATACACTAAGGTTTGCAAAAAATAGTTCAAACCAAAGAGCAATTCAAATAAAACTAATCATGCGTCAATTGTCACATTTGTATACATTTTTAAAATAACTGCACTTCCTGATCTTCTCAATTTATCAATAAATAATTTTTTAAAATGTGGTAACTTTGATGGCCTTGATTATTTAATTGTGTAACCGAGAACACTAAGAAACTGAGTATGCTGCTATAAATATTGGTTAGATGTTTTTCTAACATCTAAATTACAAAAAGGTTATTTAAATAAAATAATATGCTACACATCGAGTATTGTGGAGAAAACCATTTTAAAATAGGTTAAGCATTGGTACAAATATATTTAATTCTTTGCATTTTTTTACAGTAATATCCCTGAAGGCCATATCTCCCTCAGGCAAGTATAATACACTCATAATGGACTCCAGGTACGCAACATGAAATGGCACGCCAGCTTTCCAGAACAAGCAACATAGAAAAGCAGTGATTTTAGGAGGAAAGATGGACAGTGGCGAAAGATGGACAGAAGAGAGCTTGTGGTTATGATTTAAGAAGCAACAGTGAAGAATTTTCAGCCAACGGTACAAATAACTCAGGTAAATAAAATATAATGAAAATTTATCCTACAACTCTGGGGAAAAAAACCTGTTAGCAAATGTAACACTAAAAATTTAGAATCACTCATGCCTTTCCTCTGGCTTGGAGAACATGTAGCACAGTGCAAAACAGGGAGAGGTTTGGGGGTGGTTTTTTATGTCTGAGTATTCCTGTAGGTGTCATGCAAAGCATGGACTGAATGAGACATTCAAAGGAGCAAGCCTTCTGAAAGTCTAAGTAATATTCTGCTCATCCAGTTAAAGTTAAGATCTGGTACAAAACCAGAAATGAGTAATAAACCAGTTTGTCTGCAGTACTCTCTTGTAGTCTGTATGTTGCATATGACACATACTGCTGTACCGAATTACAACTGTTATTTGTCTACTCCAGAAATTTATTTTTGACAGAATTCAGCAGCAGATGCCCCAAAGGAAGTTTTAAGTATCTCTCAATAGGCATGTATGGAATAATGATCCTCCATGAAAGTCTCACATTAATCCAACAGTGAAGAGACCTTCTTATACCTGTGGCAATGAACTTCACAATCTAATTCTGTGATGAGTGAAAAACTCCCCTTTAAACAGTTTTTTAATTTCTCATAGCCCTGTTTAAGCACATCCTCTTTATTCGTGTGTAAAGTTTCAAAGAAGCAAAAAAAATTAATTTACTTCCTTATTATTTTCTCAATATTTTAGCATATCCATCCTAAATATCACTTTTCTCTGATAATCTAATGCAAATTCTTTTAGCAACTTTTCTCATCTTTGAAACCCTTCTAAATCTATAGCATCTTTTAAAAGAATACACAATCAAGAGTGTGTTCTAAATGTAAATATACCATCATTCTCACAACTACAAAATATTTTCCAACACACTTCTTCATTCCTTTTCTAGAACACCTCATCAACGTTTGATGTTCCACTACAATTGAACTTCGAGCTGCAGACCCATCTCCAGAGTTTAAACACTGGAAAGCACATCAGTACCTCGCTCCTCCTTCTTTCATATATTTTCAAATATGTCTGCATAAGATGAATACATAAAATATTTCCTATATAAATTTGAGAAAAAGCCAGGAAACTCAGATGTCACTGTTTTATCAAAGCACATTAGGAATTCATGTACTTTTTTTTAGGATTAACCCAATTTAACATTTCAGTTAAATTACCACTGAAGGGGAAATACCCCTAACACCCTTTGGCTATTTCACTGTTTCCACTGTATGGGCATTTAGATTCTACATTACTAACCAAATCTTATACATCAGTGGGACAGATGTGACAGCCTGACCCAAAAGATCTTGTAGTGCCTTATACGCACATCCCTTAATAAAACACACGACACAACTTACATCTATATTTTGTTTCTCCAAGCATTTTTCAGAAAAACTATGCAAAACTACTTCAGGTAGGTTTTAAGCAACTCTTCAACAAAACTGCAACAATGCTGTTCTAGTCTTTAGGATCCCAGAGGAATGCCAAGTTCTCATGCCACGTGTAAAAAACTAAGTTAGTACAGTTGGTACAGTTCATTTCAATGAAAATATTGCCAAATTTTAGCACAAATAATTAGGGCTCTATACTGGCTTAAGTAAGTGTCTCACTTATAAAAGATTTAACTTGACATGAACAGACATAAATCCAGATTCTATCTTCACATTTTAAAATAAATTACAATACGATTTCATTTAGGACAATTAATTAGTCATACTGGCAGCTGCTGCTTGCGTTTTCCAATTAAAAAATGCACTAAGAATGTGTGTATGCATAAGAAAGGTGAATCAGACTTTTATAGAAACAATCAAGAATATCCGTAATTCTGGCAAATGTGCTTGTCTAATTATATAATGAAATGGCAACATTTGGCAAACAAAAAAACACAAATTCAAAGCCCGACTTTTCAATTTGTTTCAAGGTCCACTAAAGCAACTCTGGCAATCTCACAAAGACCTATAATGCAAACTACCAAATAGGGATTATTATCTTTGAAAGTACACGTTCTTAAACATGCACACTACTTAAAAACAATTAAATTGCATGAAATTTGTGATTATACCAGCTATACGAACTAGCTAAGCAATACACACGATTCTTTTTGCACTGTTACCCTACCTACCTGTCTGTCTGTAGCTTCCAAGTTCGAGTATGCTGAGCTGCATCCCCATGGTGCTGCTGGTGCAAATGCTGAGGATGCCGCCTTTGTTGCTGCTCTTGCTGGACTTCTACCCAACAGGGAGGGACAGTGGCTGAAAACCGTGGCGTCAAGGTCTCAAAACGGGTCAGTTCCACAAGGGATGTCAGTGCTTCAAGGGAAAATGGCTGGTCCACCAAAAGGTCAACTCCTGAATAATTACAGATCATACGTTAATTACTACATAGATTTTTTTTCCAGAACATCCTATAAACAGTTTGAAATATATCCAAACTGCTATAGATAAAACTAACTACATGTTATACGACATTTCTAAAAGAAGAAAAACAAACCACAAAAAACCCCAAACAAACAAAAAAACCCGACAACAACAACAACAACAAAACGCAAACACAAGCAAGCAAACAACTCTAGCCTTGAAGACAGTATCCTTTGAAGACAGCTCTTTTGGAGTAAATTTTCTAAGTGCTGAGAGCTCTGAGCATGCTGTCTGGGATTCAAACAGAAGCATCAGGAAAAAGTAATTAGCCAGCTATACTTTGATGATGTAAAGCTGATTAAAACTTTTTTTTAATACCTCTATTGACTCAGACAAAAAACCTATGAAAGTTTTGTATTTCATGAAAACAGACATATGGAATTACTATGCAATTGTAACATTTTTATCACTGTTTAAAACATTACTTTGGCACCTGCTTATCAATATAGGCTTGTTTTATGGTGGATGGTGATGTTTTGGACGGCTCCCAATTTAGCTTAAGAGAGGGGTAAGGGAAAAACAAACACACTTTATGTAATGCACTTAAAAGACACTCGGCCTAGACAAGTATTTTATCTTCTTGTCTTCATATTCAAGTCTTGTCCTGAGGAAACAAGGATATTAATTGAAGAAGTACTGACAATTAAAATATCCCAGGGAGACAAACACCTAAAGAAACATTACAAAGGAACTCTAAAAATAATTAGGTTTCCTCAGACAAAAAAAAAAATTGAAAACTTGAGGGAAAATAAAAATATGCACAATGTCAATTTTCTTACATTTTGAGCATTTTCTCCTAAAAATGCATTTTGAAGAAAATCTTTTAGTTGTAAAGAAATTACGGTTTTTAAAAGGAGAAAGTTTGCTATCTGACTACTACTATGACCACCACAGCGGGGGGGGGTGTGGGGGTGTGTGTGTGGGGGGGGAATTAAATACACCAACACAAATACTTCCCCCCAGCAAAGTCTGAACCTGGAGACTATCCTGCAAAGCAAGCCAAGTTGAAACCAGAATAATAACCAGATTACATCCTCCAGCTTGAGAGTAGAAAGGCACATGTAATTCTTCCTGAAAAGTGGAGAAGCTCAAGATGAGATACCCAAAGTCAGGCAAAAAATTCACTCTCATTCCAACAACTATGATTTCTACTTTTCAATCTAGGAAGTGGGAAAACACTGAAGAGATTAGAAATTAAAAATGCTTTGCAAATTTAATTTCAATAATACAGCAAACACCTTCTTTTTTTTACTGCCAAATGTGAACTCATTAGCTAGATGACACTGCAATGAGAAGTGAGATCATAGCTCAAACTGTGCAACAATTCCATCTTCGAGTAGATTAGATTTTGTCTGCTTCATTCTCCCTCCCCCTCCAACAGAAACAATTACAAATTCAAAGTATTCAGACCAACCACATGTAATGTGGTATCAACCCCCAAAACTGAAAATCGAAGGACTTAACTTTCCAGTGCTGTCAAGTATACTCGGCTTCTTTTGCAAAATTACATTATTTTTGTTATATTGTAATAGTAAGTTATGACAAGCTGAAGTTCTAATAGCAAACTTGAAAAGAGTTTTTGAACTGCTCAGGAAAACTAATCTTCTTTTTCAATTAGCTTCTAAAAAAAGCATTATTTTAGATCACTTCACCACAAAAACCCCTCTGCTCCTTACAAGGAAATAATAATTTTAACCTAATCTAAGATTTAAATCTAAGATTTAAATCAGATTTAATCTAAATCTAAGATTTATGGCTCAGTAAGGTTAACATATTTCCTTCTAAAACAATACAATTTAAAATGTATCCAAGTTGTAAATGCAGGCTAGAAAATAAAGTTTAAAAAATGCATTCCAGAATGCCAACAACAGAGAAAAATAAACACACAAACAAAACCTACAATATATATGAACAATATATGGACAAAAGCTTGTGCTTGTTGCTGTGGTTTGTATCCTGACTACAGCATCTTTTACCTAATTTCTGAGAACACCAAAGTGATTTCATAAAAACACGCTGCTGGTGCCTGCCATCAGCTGTGAACGAGATATATAGATCAAGACTTTATGCTCGGTCAGATCCACCTAGGAGTTCACTTCCCCAAACAGAAAGCTTTCTGTTGAGCTATGTCTCTGAAAAACATGCTACGACAAAAGTGGAAGAAAACGTTTTTTCTGCTGTTTAGTACTTTGCTTAAAAGAGAAGCAACACTGATGTTACAAATGTTGGGGGTAATGTCTGATCATGATCCATATACATGCTGACAGCTTCATTACTTGGAAAATGTTTGCACAGTCCTAGTAATCATTTACCCATTACATGCTAAGAATCCAGTATTATTGACTTTAGTATCCTTAACCTGCATAGTTCAGACTAAGAGCTCTGCAACTACCATTTGGTTTCAACTCTTCCCTCCAGCCCCCTCATTTCAGCACTGGCTTGCTATGACTATTAAGCTTCTCTCACAGCTTTTAGTGGCTCAGTTTGATGCCACAGCAAAACAGTACTCAATTTATCTGATCATTACTGTGTATCCAACAACTCTCTGGAAACCATTACAAACCAAGATCAAGCAATACTACACACTCTGAATTATATGACTACTTAAAGGAGGACCTGCAGCTTGTGGACAATCTAAAGATATAGCTACTTCAAAGTCTATACATAAGTAAACCCCTTTCTTGTTCCAATAAGCCATATTCAAGCCTATACTGAAGGCTGGATGGGGAGGAGAACAAGAAAAAAAAAACAAAAAAAAAATTTGCCCATTACAGTACTGGCAGAATTTAAACATAATGATCATCAATTTGATTCATCAGGTTAGTCAAATTTACCATTTGATTGGAAGTCACTTAAATCTGCTGATAAGCTACTGTACAGGGAATGCATCTATTGAAGCACATCTATGTTCTGGATATTCATACTCTCTTATTGCTTTATTTGCCATTAGCAAAAGAATAAAGGTGCAGAACAAAGCCACAGACTTCTTTCACTCACATATGTACAACGGTTTATTTCTTGGTGGTTTTCAAACTTCAGGAATGGCTCTGGAGGAGCAGGAGAAATTCAGACCTCAAAGCAGAGAAGATGACAGCAACTGCTGTACTGCTGCTTACAGATAATCTTATGACAAAAAGCATTTTCTCCTTCCCTCTTTTGATTGCCTTTTGTGGAGTAAAATCAGGGGTGACACACACGCAGCACAACACAACTTAAAGTGTTACAAGGCTGGCAGCAAGCAGGGGTTTGGGGAGAAAGACAGCAAGTAGCCTGTTGACAACAAAGATGCCATGATCCAAAATGGTCCCTGTACTGCCACTCAGTCCTCTCCCAGCTTTTTTTGTCCTCTGCAGCTGCAGGCAAAAACACTCCCACCACATACACGCACACACAAAATTAACATCACTTCTCTGAAATAGTCATAGCTACATGAATAGTTTATTTCCATTGTATCATTGCTTTATCTTCATGCTTTATATTATTCTTGCATGTTATATTCTAGGTCATCTATTCCCAGTATATCCCTATTTCTGTCCCAACGTGACCAAAACCTCCAAACTCCAACCCAACTAAAATAATTATGCTTTGTGTCTGTATCTTCAACAATTGCAGGTTAAAACAAAATGAAAAACATAGTAGTTTCACAGCTCTCTCATAAACAATTCCCTTTAAAACTCTAAGCAAGATTAGAGAGAGAGAGAGAGATACACACGCACATATATACAAATACACACACACACACTTTAAAAACCTCAGCATTACTCAAACCTTCCTCAGCAGAATTAGATTTGTTGTTAAGTTTTAGTAGCAAGTTTTCTACACAAAGCATCTTCGATAAGGGCTGAGAAAAGATCAAGAGGCCCACACAGGAACTCCGATAACCTGCATACTCACTGTTCTCCCTTACAAGCAGGAGGAGCCCCTTACATTTTTCCCCTTCTACCTGGCAACATAAGGAACAACCCTCTCACCCAACTCCTTATTTTACCTAATGGGCCAGGCTACCACAAAAGGCAGCAGACTGGTGGCAGGACTGGTATATGAGAACTGCAGTAAAGACAAGACCTAAATATGATGTTTAGGATAAAAACAGAATTTGGACAATTAGAAACAATTATATCTTGGTGTCCAAGGGCAGACAACCTTTCCAGGAAGGAAACTAGTAGGTAAATGCAGAATTCGAGCATAGCTCAACCCAGACAAACTGCTAAAACCAAAAATCACATCATAAGCTTAATTTATCAACAGCATCTGTACTGCTTGAAGTATAGACAGCATAAAGTTCACTGTGTGCAACAATACCTGATGAATACATGTTTTGTACAGTTTTATTAAGTAGAGCTGTACAGCTTCTGCAGGAACCTTTAAGGCAATTTTACACAATGAACATATGATTTTAATTCCAAATAAAGGCCTCAAGCCTAATTAAACTATGAGGGAAGCTCAGTGCCTGCACAATTACCTGTTTTTCCCTGTCTGCCACACTTAAAATAACATGTAGAGGTTGGACAAACAATCAGTTATACAAAAGGCTTTTTTTTTTTTAAATCAGGAACCGCTAAAGTGTTATGCTTGTACATAACCAGTGATAGACATAAAGTAACTATAGAACTCCAACTCCGGGCAGCAAAAAAGTATAAAGCAGCATGCTATTAAATAACTCAAAATCATCTTAATATGCAACTTCCAAAAATTACAAAAGCATTTTTACTTACGATACATTTAAACATGTGCAATTTACCTGTAATGCCTGGACTAGAAGGGTTAGATAAGGGCTTGGTGCCTTCTGATGACTGTTCTACACTTTTGGAAAGGGATCCATCTACAAGTATATCAGCTTCATCTATGTCATCGCAGGTCCCTCCAATCTGAAGGAAATGAAGTTCTCCACCTGAAATCATCACAGACAACAAAAGAAGCAAGTTTAGACAGGCTTACAGCTAAACTCACAAGACAGACATGCAATTGAAGTGCTACAGAATTATGACAGTAATTATGCAGGACCTGAAACCAGTAAGATTGTAACAGGAATACTCATTTTGCTTTACTTCTACAAATTTTTTCAGGGTAAATGCAAAACAGAACTACAAAACCACTGACTCCAGTTGTGAATGGCATCAAAGGAAAAATATTAGGGCGGAGGTAGGTTAAAAGGTAATTAACTAAGAAAACCTCAACAGAAACCCAAAATCATAACCATTATGACACTTTCCATAATCCAAATCATGCTTTAAACAGAAAGTATTCCATCATGTCAACTGAAGGCCTACACCACCTCATTTGTACAGGTTGCATAAATTTCCTTTCAAAGTTCAATATTTGAGAATTGAAAAATCACTTCCCCACTGAACTCTCCTAACGAAGGGGCTCTCCACATTATTTATTCAACCCTGGAATTACAACACTGATCAGGTCAACAGTCAAAACAGCAAGTCCAAAATTTTCAATGGACACCATGTTTTGATGGAAGCTTGAAATCATTCAAGGAAGTTGCCTATTATTCACCGCTACAGATATACATAGATGAATTCTGTCATTTACAGAGAAGTCACCAAGAAGGAATGCTCAATTTTACATAAGGTTGGGGGGGGGTGGGGGGGTGGGGGGGGGCTGTTAACAGTTTCAGAAGTTACAAAAATCCTCATCAGTAGGATTTAAATAGAGAGGAAAATCCTAGGGTAGGCCTTCCATAGCTTTTCTGAAAATTGATTACAGACTGTCCTTCAGCATCTGACCGATGTTATTAAAAACCCGATTATGCAAATTACCCAGGTAATCTGAAACAAACTTGAGATAATATATATAATAAAAAGCCAAGATAAAAGCATAATCAGCAGGGACATGTTCTGCACTGTGAGAGGTGAGGGGAGTGAAATAGAGGGCGACAGAGAGGGACAGCGAGGCAGACCGTGAGCATGTGAGAGGCACATTGAGAAGACGCCTGAGAGGCACAGAGAGAGCTGGTACAGGTTTTTTTTCTGGATCTCTATAAGAAAGGCCAGACAACAAATGGCTTAATAAAACAGCTGTTTTAACAAGACAGAATAAAAAGGGGAAAATAATAGCTCAAATGACCAAAAAGGAAGAACCTCTCCATGGACAGGATCTGCGCAGTGTGATGTGGGAAAATCCACCCGGGGTCTGGCTGATGCTGCACGAAAGCAGGGCTTCCAGCATCTGAAGGGATGTGAGATTTTCTCACTATCTATATTTCTCTTTTTATTCTATCTTATTAAAACAGCTATTTCATTAAGCCATTAAGCCATTTGCTGGTGGGGCCTTTCTCACCGACATCCAGTAAAAGCCTGCACCACCCCTCTCTCAGCCCCAACCCGCCCACCCCTGGTGCAGAACAGTACATCCCAAGTAGATCCCAAGAGTGGAGGGGAAAAAAGTAGTTCTGGCAAATAACGCTTATAATGAGTTTCCTTGAAATTAAACAGCTCACGAATGAGCAATTTTCCTCAAACAAAGAGAATTAGGGACACATTAGAAAACACAGACCTTGACAGCTTCATTTGGTAATAAGCCAAACCTCAGTTTGTTTCCCGTTCTGTTTACTGCTCAAAGATCAATGATCAGAGTGATCTCAACGATCAAAACCAGAATATCTCTTGTCCTGGAAATGAAGTACACGCTCATGCAATGGAAGTTCAACATGACTTGCACCATCTGAAAGTTTTACGGCTCACAGCAGGAGAAATGCTGAAGAACTTCAGAAAGTTGTGGGTTTTCCTAAGAGAAAGTTATGCCAAGGTCTCACTTATTCTGTAGATGATTGGGTTGGGTTTGGTTTTAAAGAACCAAAATCTTGTTTCTCAAACCAAGTTTCTGAGTTTCTGTCACTAATTAACAGCAGCAAAAAACATCCTTACCATTTTATCCATACAAGAGGAAGAGAGAGTCACAATCCCTGCATTCCTGAAAGACTCCAGCACTTTTCCAAGAAAAATTCTGTGCTAAACTTGAAATATCTCACTTCCTCATATTTGTTTTTAAAAAGCTTCTGTAAAGAAGTTTATAACGAATTTCTGTTATACAGTATTAGCCTATAAAGTTATTAGTGCTTATGCACGCTCTCCAAAACCCTGCAGGTAGCTTTCCTTCTGTATCACAAAGGAGGCATTTGCTGTCATAGAACGTCCAAAGACAACCTTCTGATGATGCATGCTTAATTATTTGTTTCAAAGATACCATAGTTTCTATAGTCAAGTGCCAGGAAAAAAAAAATCCGTGCAAGCCAATGCTGGGTTTTTTGGGGTTTGTTGTTGTTCAGGTTTTTGGGTTTTTTTTTGTTTGGTTTTTGGTTTTTTTTGTTGTTGTTGGGTTTTGTTGGTTGGTTGGTTGGTTTTGGGGGGGGGTGGGGGGGGTGGTGTGCCATTATTACTGTCTCATGGTATGCACTACTAGGCTTGAACAGTGACTCATCTGGTGCTTTCTAATTCTAGCCAGGTAGCAAACTTCGTAAGTAGCAGTTTATCTGAAGACTTCTCTGCTTGCATCACTTTGACAGAGGCGATAAATGCTTCTGTTGCACTACCAAGAAGATATGAAAGCTGACACTGACTTACTCAGTGATCACAAAGGAGAATAATTGGGAACCAGCATCATTATACTTTCCGAAAATAACAGGTAACACGTTCAAAACATTGTTAATTTAATTCTGAATTGTATTTAAAATCTGTAATTTGCTTGGACTCAAGAACCTGGTGGGATATACAAACAGAACATAAGAATCATAAATCCATCCAAATAAATCCCAAGCTTCCTTCTGGCAAAACAGTTATTGGTTTCAGGAAAGCAGCATTGGCACAAGTTAGAGAACATGTCAGAGACTAGGCCACTGCAGTCAAAGCCAATCTGGTGAAATGTTCAGTATCTTGAACATATCCTGCAGTCTGGCAGGAGTCTGGGAGAGTGACACAATTGTCAATAGCAAATCACAACACAAGGACATAGCTGAACAATACCCAAATAGTTAAAGGAATTAAGAAAACAAAGCCATACCACAGCAAAGTATCCACTAAACAACTTATAGTCCTCCTCATCTCACCACTGGGCTGTAGAGAAAGGATTAGCTCTAAATATACTAGTTCAGAACGCTTGAAAAATGCCACGACAGTCCTCAAGAAAGCTTCCCCAAAACATCACTCCAACAGAATTTACACTATTCTTGGTGATTTCAGCTGTAAAATTCCATCCCAGCTCATGAAAAAATAGAATGCAATTGAATAGGGACAAGTGAAAGTTACTATGCCTAGCAAGAAATAATTAAATGCACTATTACAGGATGACGAAAAATCAGATAGCCAGCAGTTCCATAAAAGAGGCTCTTGTGACTCAGAAGATAAACCAGATTCAATTTCATGCTCAAAAGTGCAAATATACCACTATGTATACACACACACGGTATGTACAGACTGCAGAGCCCCTAAGGAATTCTTCTGTTCCATTCAGACATCTGTAGGATTACTGTTCCTGGTTTGGGATATCTCATCAAGAAACATGTGGACTGACTTGAGCAGGTCTTTTGGGAGGGGAGAGTAAGGGGTTTTTTTTCTTTCAAAGCCCCTGAGGAAAGTTTAAAAGAATTGCAGATATTCAGCTTAATGAGATAAATGGTTGGAGGAAGACAGTACCTAAATAAACTCTGTCTTCCCCTCTTTTTTTGAAGCAACCTCTTTTCCATGTTCATAAAGGATAATACAACAGTAATGACTCAAATCAGCAAAGATGATACAGGCTAAACACTAGGAAAAAAAAAAAAACCATCATCAAGGACAGTATGCAGAAGAAGAAATTTCGTGAGTAGGCTTTTAAATCTCCACGCTGAAGATCTTTGAAAACAGGCTGATCAGTGGAGTACTTCTGAGTGGGTAAGTGTAATTTATCCTGACTTGATGATCTCTTAGCATCACTTTGAACACTAAATTCTGATGTGGAAAAAACTCAACCTCTCCCCAGTCTCATTAGACCCCACTGCCTATGAAGGCAGAAAACTGAAAACACTAAATTGTTTCCTGAACTTCAAATACACCACCATGCAAGGCCGACAAAGCCTAATGCCATGGAAGAGACAAATGAGATATCCAAACAAAACCAGAAAAAAGCTACAGAGAGTAATTGATACACTATATACAACTCAAGAGGAAGAAATCTGTTATAACTGAAAGGTACAAGATTTGGGGGAATCAATTCTCAAATGTATGAAAGTGCCATCCAGTTCTGCCAGGCTTGCAACAAGAAATATTAGCATAGACAACTCACTTTCGACATACCAAGCTCCAGTCTGAAAAAACACTTTCTCCAACAAAGGGGAGTGACTAGAAAAAGTCTTGTTATAATGTAACACTGCAGGCAAGAATTCAGGAGAATTATGTATATAAAAAAGAATATTAAAAAAAGAATAATCACAAAACAGACACCTAAAGAAAAAAGTGCTTATAAACGAAAGTGTAAAGCAATAAGATGCAATTGTACATGATGGGTTACATCCAGTGTTCGTGGTCTTCTTTTACAGCTTCCAACTCTGACTAATTCAGAAATAGACAATATCAAAAGAACTGATCCAGTGTGGTCTAGGATTCACTATGTTTGAGAAGCTGATTATGGAACTTCAATTGGAGCTGGGTCTTTTTGTCTGTCAGCTCTGAAGCAATACAGGCAGAAAAGAGAACTGCTAGAACAAAAAAGTGCTAGAGTTGTTCTTTCTTATGATGAAAAACAAGTAGAAAAACTTCTTTTTTTCCCCCCCTGCTTTTCCCCAAACTACTTCCAAATAATAATTAAACTGAAAATACAACTAAATGAATTTAGGGAACTTCTGAAGAACCACTTCTTAAAAATCAAATTGACTTTCTGTTGAGAGATTTTTTGCTAGATGTAATGCAAAGACAAATACTAGCATTTTCAACAGGATTCAACAGGGAAATGATTTACTGTAAAACCTTCACTCAACACAGACATTCAAAAACCAGATTTGTGAAAGAATTAGATTGCAAATTCCAGGTGCGCACAGTCCAGGAATGCTTCACTCACTAGAAGGAACTCAAGCACTCAAACAGATCATACAGATTTTAACATCTACTCAATCAGAGAGCCTGGCAGGAAAGTACCTGCTTCACCACAACACCCTGAACATTTCCACTTCTTGTAGCATTTGTTTGAAATGCCACCTCACTTTCCTACTCAATAATATTTCTTCAGAAAGCTTCAGACACTGAAGTTCATAACTTGACAAGGAAGAACATCAGTAACAGTGAAAGACAGAAAATTGACAATTCTTAATGATCTTTTTAAAAATACTCCCAGAAACACAAATATGCACAATTTTCAAAACTGCCAAAACAAAACAGAAGCAGAGATTTGCACCTTTACGTTAGATAAAAAAAGGAACATTTCAGATATTTCCATCTCATTCCATATTCTAAAGCAAAGTTCAACAAAATGTCCTGAGTGGCAAACGCAGTTAAGCAGCTAAACTAAGGAAACAATCCAAAACAAACCCAACAAAAGAAAAAAGTAGCATGTATACCGTGGATCGTTTTCTTAAGTAATTTTTGGTAGGACTGTAATTTAAAAAAAGAAATATAATTAGATGAAAACTGGGATATAAAGAAGGCGGTGACAACTGTAGCTCTGGAAATTTATGCATCCAATACTAACTATATCTGATCTTCTTAAACACCAGACAATAGGCTTCAAATATCATCAAAAGACCACCCTACAGCTGTAACCCTATTAAAAAACAATACCTGTCCGCCTACTGCATAGTTTTATAATAAAGAATTTGCTTTTTTTGGATGCTACAAAAGCAGAATTTAAGCTGTTTTATATTAATAATATAAGACAAAACGTTTAAAACCCCCATATAATAACACACAAAGCACTACTAAGAGGGATATTAACTATTGTCTACCTTGGCCAAGGGGAAGAGAAGAAAGCAAAATACAAAGAGATTAGAAGTTCACTATGTTTGCTTAACAGAACTGGAACCAAGAATATACTTGCACACTTCCCCCCAGAGGTCAACTCCAGGTAATCCTTGCAGAAACAGAGAAGCACCTGAAGCTGACACCAAGAGGTAACATTTTGAAATGGGATAAGAATAATTATTCCCAACTCATAAAGATGGATGATGTCAAATGCAGGTCTAAAACATCTTTACATAAAACCACTCAAAAACCTTTCACACAGAGGTTTCTTTTCAGTTTTATCTTAAAGGCAGCTATGGGAATATTATATGATCTGCCAATGAAAATAATATGTCAACAAGCAGGAGTAGCAGAAAAAAAAAAGGCTATTGTGCATCCAAAACTTTCAGACATTAAAATACCTCTTCACGTACTCCCACCATCCAAGCAAGTAAACAGGAAAGAATATACTGCTCAGCTTATATTCTTGAATAGTTCCCCAACAACATCCAAGCATTTCCAGTGCACGGAGGTTCCGAATCTTCTACTTAACATTTTCACTAATGTCTCAACAGTAGAAGCTACTTGCTAGAAGGATTAACGCTGAATACATCAGTGAATATAGCTATTCTACTTTCAACACACATCTTCCTAATGCTGTCAGACTGCAGGCACCATCCCATACGTGGTAGTAAATATAGAGCAGCAAAGACCTCAAAGTGATTTTGGAAGAAGCCTAAGAAAACTACATTTAAGAAAAAAGAATAATAATAATTAAAAAAAAAAAATCTTCAGCCGCCTAGCAGATAAGCAAGCAATTTTACTCACTTACAGCAGAAAGATTAAAGGATGATTACAATTCAACACAAGTTATGCAAAACCTATTCCTTACATCAAGTTATTCAAATGTGCAATAAGATATTCGATAAAAAAGTTATAGTAATAGTTGAGCTTTTTGGTTTGCTTTTTCTTTTAATATTCCTGAATTTTATGCAGTACAGTTATTTATAAACATTTAAGATCAAGTCATTCTTCACAAAGCTTCTTATTTTGGCATGAACGTTAGAACTCTGAGGCTTCAGACGTATCTAGTATCAGACCCTGAAATCGAGACTTCTAATGGACATTGGTCCCTAAATATTTACGATGGCTTTGGACTTAATTTCTCAAAAGTGAGAAAAATAATACCAGGAGAAGTGACTGAAATGTTAAAAAAGGAACAGAAATTGAAAGCTTCTAAAGACATTTAAACAATGAAAATAATGAATTCTAAAGTTCTTTCTAATTCGGTTGCAGAGCAGAAAATCAAGTTCCAAATAGAGCTGAAGTGGGTGTAAATGAATGATAAGAATAATCAATGGATAAAAAAAAAAAAAAAGAAGAGTTATCAAAGTACTATATTCATAAGAGGAAACTTGAGGGCAGAAGGATACCTGTGGCACACAGGACGACAGAAGAAAAAACCCAAAATCTCAGTCATCTTAAAAGCAGCAAGAACAAAAGAAGTCACAGCAAAGCTATTTATAAATTACTGGATGGATATTATAATACTCTCAGAGAGGAAAAAATACAGAGATATTTACTGAAAAAGCAGAATGATGTGCTTGTCTATTATGAGGAAGATGAAGTATTCTCCAGTCAGTAACAGAGGTGGTGGTTATCTAGGCAGAAGAGACAAATACTCCTACGTACACAGAATAAATGCTCCCAACTCAACAGACTTGCATATCTTATACTCAAGGTCCCAAAACAGGTTTAGATAATACCAAATGCTACAAGAATATAATTAACATACACGTTAACACTGGATGGCAAAGTACCAGACACAGTAACAAAAAGGCCTTTAACTTTTACCATTAATCTTAAAACACAAGAAAGACAGAACAGATTTGATGTAAGAAAGTAATGAATAGTATACAATTCTGTAGGAAAAAACCTCACCAAGGTTTGGATTTTCTTAAATGAGATTGCAGTTTGATCAGCAAAATATAGGTAAAAACATTATGACATGGATATAATATACTAACAGTTTTCAAAGGCAATTAACCTTTCAGTTAGAGTTCCATTTTAACTAGGAAAAAGTGTACGTTACTAAATAAAGCTAAAATGGCTTAATAGACATTTCTTCAAAAGCAGTTACCAAAAGAGAACAATTTAGCAAATACGAGTGTTTCCTGCAAACATAAATACTGATTGCTAACATGTGATTTTTCATCCACACCAAAAAAGCAAATCTAAAATCTCCACTGCTAAAACTCTTGGTAGGTAAGTGATAAACACAGGACCCTTAACAGACATGGGATTTCTGCAATAAGCTTGACTTTATCTGTTGGAAATAACAGGTAAATCTCATTTGTGTTTAACAACTGCTCATAGGAGGACTGTATAATCAACATGACACCACCATGAAAGGAGGAAATGTGTCAATTTAAATTCTTCTAGTAGAGATAAAGTTCAACATGATATTGGTGGGAGTTCATTTGAAATGTGTGAACCATCCCATCAGCTTAGCCCCTCTGAGAGACCAACCGTTTCCACCAGAGCTGCATTCAAGTGCAAGAGAACTAAATGAGACATTGGTGCACAGAAGAACTCAGCTGGATGACAACCAGAGCTGCTTCCACTGCCCCAATGTGACACAAGGAAGTGGGGAGGTGTGTGGTGGTTTAGGGACTTCTACAAAATAGCAGTTGCCTGGACTTGAGTTACACTCCCCTCCTACCTGTTCCCTTCCCCCAAAATGTCTTGTGTCCATTTTGAAAAAGATTTAACAATCCTGCATAGATAGTCTGGCTCTCATGCTCAAGAAAGTGTAATCCCAGTTGCAAAAGGCTGAAGCACAACCAGCAGCCCTATCTGAAAGAAGATACAACTGATCACTGGAATAAAGTATAAAAGCATGATCTTCTCTACCCTTTTGAATATTGCCAATTACAGACAGGAGACATTTTTCTGAAATGTGGATCTCTAGCACAGAAATAATTACATACAAGAATCACTTTTATTTGTTTTGGATTTAAGAAAATCTGAGCCTCTACAAGAACAAGGTTACCAGTACACTGGACATACCCAAGAGTTACTCCCATTTTAGAGATTAAAATCCACATTTAAGATGAGGAATTAACTAGAGTCCATGCTCCCTATAACGGAAGTAAACTGCACATAAATTCAATGGAATTTGCTTATTACTATTTTGAAACTTAGATTCTCACATTCTATAATATAATCCAAATACAGTCAAATCAAGCATGAAAAAACATTTTTAAAGTGAAGTCTTACCTTTGGTGCATGCACATAATCTGTCTGTGCCCGAACAGTATATCACAGAGACAAACATATCTGGTTCCTCAGTGCCCTCTTTTTTAGGTGGCTCCACTTTGGCCAGAATTTCAAAGTTCGAAAGATCTAGTATTTTTACATATCCTCCCTGAGTAGTTATTACCAGGTGCCCAAGAGTAGAGATCTCAGATCTTCTCTCTCTCCCACTGCCATTTTTAGAAGTTAATTGTATTTCCTCTACAGGCTCCTCACAGTCATCCTCTCGATTATCCAATATATCCGGTGGGAGCAAAATCATTGAGGTAATTGTGTCTTGGGGGTCTTTGATATGCTGGATTTTTACCGGTTCCTCCTCTAGAGTGACTATTCTAGTGGCATAATTCATCTTAAAAAGCACTAGGTATCCACCACTAACACTTCTCTGTTCAGGTTGAATTATTAAAGGAGTTGGTACATCTGCTGGTGACTCATGTTGGATTACATCAATACTCGTGCCATTCACTACAGCAAGACTTGATTCTAGTTCCCCCTTCCTTCTATTACATAGTGCCGAGTTTAATTTATTTAAATTATTCAAGGCCTCTACTTGATTTATTGCACTCAGAGATTCGACAGGACAAGTCCGCAGTCCTACTAACAAATGAATTCCATCTGCACAAGGAGTGATTGAATCTACACACAGGTTCTCCTCCTCTGCAAACTTTGGCAGACGCAGGCACTGAACCAAAGTCCCAGGCTTGGGAACCATGGAGCTCCACTTGTCAGAGTCCGGAGAAGTTAGGTTGGCTGCAGCATCTGCAAACTGCTGAATGTAAGTCACAGGGGGATCCTGTAACAGCAACTGTTCCTGACTGTCCAGTTCCATTTCAATGATCTGTGGAACTGTGAAACCATCATCGTGTATACTTTTACTCATAATATTGTTCATCTGTGAAAAGAGTTTTCCTGCTTTTTCATCAGACTCCTTAATGCTGTATAGCAGCAATACAGGTAAAGTCCTCCTTACCAGAGGGGAATTCAGTTCTGAATTAGTGCAGGATTCATTGTCAGTTGAGCCCTGTTCCGAGACACTCTCACCTCGAGTCCTACTTAAGCCATCCAGTGACCTCTGAGAGTTACTGCTAACAGGAGAGGTAGCAGGTGATTTGTACGTTAATAGACCTCCAGCTAATAAACAAGGAAAGGGAATGTTGTGTTGTTCGAGATGTTTTTCCTTCATCTTTTCACTCTTACAGTTGGCCAAACAGGGATTTGCCCCAAGTTCTTCTAGATCCTTAACCGTGTCTTCCAGAACATTTGCAACAATTTCCCACTGAAGTTTTTCAGGTTGCTGAAGAATGCTGAGAGCTGTTATATCAAGGCTGACTTCCATAGTTTCTTTTTGTGATGTATGCCCTTTAAAACAAAAATGTTTAACATAACATATGTTCAAAAAAAAGGAATCATATTGCATATATTATGGACTTATCCTCATAATTAAGCAAAAAGTCACTGCTCTACAGTTTCAATATGTTAAAATATTCTGTATGTTCAAGATTTGATAGTCAAGAAACAATAAAAGAGGCCCAGAAACATTCCTTCCACATAGACTAATGGTTCTCCTAATTTTATCAACAAGAGTGAAAGTAAAGGGAACAGGACATTAGCCTTTGTAACACGTCTCCCAGTAAACAGCATTATCTTCCTATCAATTATTCTACTTAGGCTACACCACCATACTGAAATCCAACTAATCTAACCAACTCAATTAATGTTCTACAATATATTATTCCCCTTCCTTCCTAGACAATTCAATGCCATCAAAAATCTGCAATTCTGCAGATTCATTCTCCAATCTTAGTTGAAAAACATGTCATTTTACTCTAAAACTTCATACTTCCCACGATGTCACAGACCACCTAATAGAAAGAACTCCAAGCTATTATAAAACAAAACCTAGTAAAAACTTAAGAGATAGCCTGATCAAATTAAACAGTACTGCAATAATAACAATTAATCAGAAGAGTTCAACTAACTAATGTAGAGATTTAAAAGATTACAGAGGACACTGTACAAACCCAGATTAAGAGGTGACTTAAGCATAAATGACAGAGCAGCATCTTTGCTAATATTTTTGTTGAAAAAAATCCTTTTTACATCTCAAGTCTATTTCCTTGTGTGTAGGCACACGCACATGTTCTTTTTTTTCCCCACCTGCTGATCCTTACTCAAAGATGTAAACTGGATTATGGAAAATACGCATGTGATCCTCCCTCCCAGAAAAATTTCTGATTCAACCTCTAAGAAAATAACACAAGAACACCATGCATAGCACTGTTCTGCTTCCATATGAAATCTTTATTCAGGAAGAGAAATACTCTATCAAAGTGCATACCCACAGGGAAACAATCAAGATACAGGAACTCTCTCTGGCAATCCCCTGAATTTAAAGGGTTTTGTACAGCTGTAATTTGTTCCCATTCTAAGCAAGTTCTTTTAACTTGGTTTGTGTGTTTTATTGACAGCAAGATAAGCAATGCTTGTTGTCAAATAAGACATTTATTAACCAACAAAGTAGGGGTTCTCTTTTCTCCTGTTTGTAATCTTTCCACCACACAATCAGTGACTTCAATATTAGCATTGCTTTCAAGGTCACCCTTTTTCCTTTTTTCTAATACAGTGAATATAACATCATCAGTTTTGACCGGGGTTTTTTAAAAGCCTGAGAAGAACTATTTCCCCTCCTGACCTCTAAACTATTATATGGATCAGATATAACCTACCTGTCACAGATTCCGATCTGGAATGCTCTTCACTGTCTGAATCCTCCAGTAGGTCATCACTGAGAAAAAAAAAAAAAAAGCATGAATGACACCAGGTACACCGTAGCTGCATTCTTATTTTTAATTAAATTTTTAAAAATTTAGTAAAAAATACAATGTGTATTATAACCTGGCATTTCTTTTAGCCAGCAATGTATATCCATTGATGAGTTGGTCACAGACACTAACAACATAAAGATTTTTTTCCTCTATCATTCAACCAGTAGACCAGCTTTCTGTTTACCTCATTCTACTATTGTATTCCCAACAATTCAGACATAAATGGAATTAAAATGAAAACCAGTTCTCAGGAATCTTTCCAAGAAAACCAAAATCAAACAAACAAAACCTCCAAAAACCGATGACACCTTCTTCAAAGTTCCTCAAAATAGTCTCTGAAAGGTGGAGCTGCCAGGCTGGTCTTCAATTCTACCAAGGCGATTTTGTAGCTAGTACAGAAAGGGCATACGAACAGTGCGTTGCTTTTAAAAATACTACCAGATGAATAATTTTTTCATAAAAGCAGATTCTGTTCAAGATATCTCTTCAAAAGAAATATCTTCAGTTCTAAGAATATATGAAGATTTTACGCATCTGGCTTTTTCAATATAAGAAACAATTTCTTATTACAGGCTCTTTACACACAGGAAGAACAATAATGCCTCTACAGCTTCAGGTATAACTACTCACAGTACAAAGTCAGGTCCCCAAATTTCAACAAACTGGATGCTTCCTCCTCACACCCAAGAAACAGATCTTTTTTGGCTCAAACCTGATCAACCTTTACTTCACGACAAGACAGCAGTAATTCAATACTTTGATTCTCATCCAGCTTCCCCTTGAGTGGGAAAGTGATAGTAAATTTCATATAGATTAAATGACGTGAAAAACGCGTAGTTCTGACTAGTATGATTGTACTTATTGTACTATCCTTTAACCAGCTCTTAAAATCGGCTTAATTCTTTAACTCTCAAGGAGTTTATTGCCCTAAAGCTACAAGCCTAGGTCCCAGTGGCTGTTAGGCCCCGCACTCTGATGTTGCCCACGTTTCTACATACCCTCTTCAGAAAAGCAAGCTTCATATTTGCTCTGCAGTACTGTAGGAATCACAAGCTTAAAACCAAAGATTTACTTTCCTGTGCATGTAGCAGTACTGATACTTTCCGTGATGCTGAAGTTTAAGAAGAAACATTCAGAAAGCTAGCAAGACTCCCCAAACTCTTTTTGTCCTGAGTTTTCCAGCAATTATTCACTCTTTTGTTTGAGTTTTGGTAATATGAGAAAGGAGTTTCCAGTAACAGACTGTAAGAAGCATAAATGAAAGAATACTGCTTTTTCTCACGTGACACTTTGTAAGCACTGGCATACACTCTAGCTTCTCTAAAAGCTTGCAACAGGACTGTCTAATTGTTTAGAGTCTGTATGCATGTGTTAAAGGTACAAAATGAAAGCAATTCCTAGCATGTCCACATAATTTATTTTCAGAATGACATAACGAGAAATTACAGAGAGGCAATCAGAGAAAAGCATGTTCCAGAAGTCCACGAGTAGCCTTTACTTTCAAAACCTGAAATGCATAATCCATAACTAAAATGAAAAGCTATTCCAAAACTTATATTCCTTTCTCTTTTTTCTCTGCCTCTGGAACAGCAGCACAGGGCAGCAATGAGATTTGGCATCTCTGTTAGTAGAGTATAAAAACTGAAA